TCAGTCATTTTTTCGATGTTTTACAAAGTTTTTTCTCTTGGAAACTATTGACAACACATCTGAACAATCGCAGTATCAAAGGTAGGAATGTGTAGACATTGAAAATACGTCTTCAGGAGAAATATAAAGGTCGTTTAAGAATGTACACTATGGTTGCCAAGAGAAAAAAACTAAGCGTTAACTAAAACAAAACTAAACTGACAGAACATTCCACTAAATTATTAAAATGTAAATTGTTTGCCATGACAAAATTATTTGAAAACTCAAATGAAGGTTTTGAATTTCTTTAATTGGGGTCCAAAGAAGGCACAAACCATACAGAACCCTTTCCAAAGTTTAACTGCTTCATTATCGATTTGTCATTCAAGTCTCAAGATAAATAAAAAGGAAATGATATTTGACAGGTGTAAAGCAAAAACAATATAAAGATATAAACAGACTAAATTACACCACATCTGTCACGATCCCATTGTGGCTTCGATAAAAAATAGATACATATTAGTAGTTTACATAGAGTAAAGATATCAAACAAATTCATCCATAAAATGTTTACTTTGCGAGATATTTTTATGGTATATGACACGATACCATCACAACTTTATCATACAAAATATAGGTTTGTCATTTCCGTCGCATCAGTGACACGTTGATAATTATAAATCAACGAATGTAGCCATGTGGGACATTACGTTCAGCCTGATGTTTGCTTCGTCAATATTTTTGTCAGGAACTTTAAGCAACGATTCATCTAAACAAACAGACGCAACAGCAGACTAAAGTATATATTAACGGCTTGGAACGATCACTTCATCAGTATAATAAATGAGTAACACATATTTATATTTTGCAATTTTATGAAACAATATTTAACGTTTGAATAACGTAACATATCAGCAACAATTAAATATAGAATTACCACAAACAAAACATGAGATTAACTTCTCAAGAACATCAACTTCCTCTTGTGCTTTCACTAACGACATATATCACCAATATATATATTTATCACATAATGTACTGTGTTATCCAGTGAATATACCCTACGTCATATTTTGTTGGCGTATTAACCCATGTTATATGACCTATCAGCCCTGTGATTGGTTGTAAGTTTCAATTATTTCAATTGTGGTTCACTAAATTGAAAAATTCTTAGACTCGTTTCATAAATCTCATATGAAATGGAAACTCATGTCAGATCCTATATGTACGCCTAAATTCCGCCGGTTTATATATTATCAAACAAAAGAATATACTTGTATGTTACATCATTGTGATATGTGTAAGCCTGATTAAAACTGAGCTTTTCTGTTCTATCTTTCAATGCTTGATGTTAAATTAAAGTCATATAAATTGTAAAAGGGAAGCAAAAATGATTACATTATTTCGATCATGACATTCCGTTTTAAATCCCTTATCCTAAGGTTTTTTGGTTGCATAATGCGATTGGGCAAAAAAAGTTTAAAACGGTCGTAATCTGTTTTCTATGTTGTCAAACGTATCTAGCTCACCGATCATCGTGATAAATTTAGAAACTAAATTTTGATCTTGATTTGTTTAGCTATACAACGGGAAATTGTGTGAATCTAGAATTTTTTTTATAAACCCCCTATTTTTCATCAAATAAAGATACATCACTAGAATAGCGTTGGCATATCCAAATGAAAGAGCTAAGGATCACTGATACTTCGCTATAGCGTTCCTTGCTGGAGCGATCCTTTCGGTGACGTTATAAAACATGACGTTGCAACAGTTGCTAGTTTGATTAAGCAGTATGTAAAATCTTTCAGACGAGGTCAACAGCGCTCAAGAGTGTTAAATAAGTCTATGAGTGAGTAGTATTGAGAGTATGAATCAATACAATCACTAGACACGAATAACCGCAGGTTTGTTGGATACGTACTATCGATACTAGGCGATACATTAGTATATAAGTTATTGCCACAGGGCACACATTACAGTTTTTGGGGCAATCCGTCCCTTCGTTAAAACCCAAACATCAAACCATTACTTTATACTAAAATACAAGACAAAGAACAATAACCACTATAGAACTGTTCGTAGTGAAAAATATTGACTGTGAAAAACAAGGGGTCATGCCAAGATAAAAACATAAAACACAACACCATGAATATCCCAAGTACTTTATCTCTCCATCAGCTACAATGTGTCCAAAACGCAATTGTCTTAACTTTATTCTATGTGACTGCAGAAAATAAAAATAACGTTGTGACCGTGTCTTATCGAAATATGATCCATCCCCTCGCCGTCTTTGCTGTGCATAACGAAAAAAGACCATAATGAACTCACTGAGCAAGTTCTTAATGTGAATAAAAGTGACATTTGTGACATAATAATTGTGCACAAAGTTTACAACAAAACCATAATACGATGACGTCATAATAAAACATTACACATTGGCAATATATAATCTTATTTGCAAGACGAGTCCCTTTTGCTGCAATGCAAATATATCTGTCCTTCAACCTACCCTCTAGACAACTCATGGCTGCCTCAGTGCCGTCCATTTTGGATCCTTCAGGGCCATCCGCAACAACAGGCTCATACACGACAATAAAAACAATTATACATTTTAATTCTTTATGTAAAAACATATTTATATACACCTATGTACATTAATTATGTCATGTCCACTTGTCACAGTAAATCGTGTCCCTTACTTCGTAATAGTAAGTATCCAACGAACAAGTGGTGAACTCTGATGTGGGTTATTTGTCCCCGTGGTCGGCTGTAACCTTGTAGCTGGACTATTAGTACCCAAGGTCGGCTGTAACCTTGTAGCTTGAATATTAGTCCCAGAGGTCGGCTGTAACCTTGAAGCTGGAATATCAGTCCCCAAAATCGGCTGTAACCTTGTAGCTCGACTATCAGACCCTGAGGTCGGCTGTAACCTTGTAGATGGACTATCAGTCCCCGAGATCGGCTGTAACCTTGTAACTCGACTATCAGTCCCTGAGGTCGGCTGTAACCTTGTAGATGACCTATCAGTTCCCTGAGGTCGGCTGTCACCTTGTAGATGGACTATCAGTCCCCGTGATCGGCTGTAACCTTGTAGCTGGATTATAAGTCCCCGCGATCGGCTGTAACCTTATATCTACTGGTGGACTATTGGTCCGCGAGGTCGGCTCTAACCTTGAAGCCGGAATGAATTTGTACTTGGTAGGCTTACCAAAAATACTAGTTTATAGATTGATGGTATCTATTGTATCCAAACATTATAAATTTCTAACGTTTAGGGGGTTTATAGGAATCTTTCCACTTTCATTGTATTTCTGTACATTACTCAGAAAAAGAAATATCATGTAATGTTCATTGTTATGAATATGTTCAGTTGCTAAGTTAATTAATGTAACCTTTGTCTTCATGCCGGGACAAACAAAAGTCCTTTAAAATGATAGCTGTTATTTCCCGTAAAATGAAAATTACAGAAAACTCGACATCTCACCATCGGATGATTGTTTTACAATGCTCAGGATATCGCATTACACTAAAAGTATTGCAATTAGTCGATTCGTCCATTAGCATGCAGTCCGTACCATGGAGTATTGGACAACTGAAACTATTTATTGGGCCAAATGATTTGGTATTCATAAATAAGAGGCAAAGAGGGCCTGTATCTCTCACCTGGATCTGTATGTCCTGCAATGGTATACATGTATATCCCACCAAGTTTCACATCAGTTGGGCTGTACAGTTGTTCGGCCGAACTACAACTACCATTCAAATCGGTCGTTGAAGAGTTCAAGGTAGCAAAATGCAGGCTGGTGATGACTCTGAGGGACTACAAAGACGTGAAAATCAGCGAGGCAGTAATACAGACAAGAACAGGGAGAAAGTGGTAAGCAAGCACTGCAGTTGGTGAAGCAGAGAGTATGCTCGAGTTGAAGGATATCATCGGGAACACCTGCGTCGGAAGACAAGGAGTTGGCTTCTCTCATTTCCAGCAGTGGGAGAAAGCAAATACCCAAGCAAGACGGCAAATGGAGAAGAAAGAAATCAGAAGGATTGAGGAGGAAAGGAGGAGAGGGAAATATGTGGAACTCCGCAAACAGGGAGCGTGGACCAGATGGAATCTCCCAGAGGGGAAGATGACGTGGGCTGAAATATGGAGAATGGAGCCCTTCCGGTTATCATTTCTGCTACGATCCGTGTATAACACGCTACCATCTCCTGTTAACCTGCATGTGGGGATTGACGGAGGATCCTTGCTGCAAGCTACGCGGAGGAAGAGGAACAATGGCTCATATCTTGTCTGGTTGCAAAGAAGCACTACGACAGGGTAGATACCGATGGAGGCACGACAACGTCTTGCGGGTCCTAGCAGATATCCTTGAAGTGGAGAGAAGGAAGAAATGAGCTGGTGTAAGAACAAACCACGCTGGTATCAAGTTTGTGAAACCAGTGGAGAAAGCCACAGTGAAGCCTCGAAGCACCTCATCCATCTTGGAACGGGCGCCAACATGGGAGATGAAGGTTGACCTTGACAGGAAGCTTGTGTTTCCAGGAATAGTGGAAACAACACTGAGGCCTGACATGGCAATATGGACAGAACAATCCAGACACCTCATCGCCATGGATCTCACCGTATCATGGGAGGAAGGCTGCGATGAAGCTCACGAGAGGAAGAAAGCCAAGTATGATGAGCTGATGGAAAAGTGCAGGAGCAGAGGATGTACAGTATGGCTCTTTCCAGTGGAGGTTGGCTGTAGAGGTTTCCCCGCACAGTCAGTGTGGAGGACACTTCAGTCGACAGGACTCACTGGGAGAGCTACCGCCATCAGACGATTGGGACAAGCTGCAGAGAGAGCATCGTGCTGGCTATGGCACAAAAGAGAAGAGCCGATGTGGAAGCCGACATAGACGAGTAGTGGTTTGGCCACCATTGCTGACCCACCAGCCGGAGGATGTAGTGATTAAGGGTCGAAACATCTGAAGAGGGCTGGCCATCACCTGATGACGTCAAATGAGGCTTCGCGACTAGAATGACAGCAGTGACGGACTACAAGTCAAGGACGTCACAAGATGCAAAATTACCATCATCTGTAAGCAATCATTGTTTGGGTTCAGGATCTCAACCATTTCAAAGTTATGGCCCAGAGGTCCCAAATGCACCACAAGAGTCAATACTAATATCATAATGGTGTTCGTCTTTTGTTGCCCAGCAATGGTATATATGGTTATGGGGTGGGATCTCAATCGTTTTAAAGTTATGGCTCAAGAATGAAGTTCCAAGGAGTGGGGCAAGACCCATCAGTCAATCATAATATCATGATTGTGTTCGTCTCTTGATGCTCAGCCATGGTAGGGAACTCAATCGTTTCACTTCAGACATTGGATCCCCCCCCCCCCTTCATTACTACTGACGAGTCCTAATGGATGGAAGGATCATATGGTGTAGTACAATGTTTACTATGTTTGGCTCTCTGCGTCGAGAAATATTGTTCTAAATAATAGATGTTTCCTTACTCAGTATCTCTTCCGAAAGACAAGTTTGTTAGTGCCTCTAAATCCGAATGTCATTTGCATATATTTGCTTTAGTTTTATCGACATTGATTCATTCGATTGCAAATTATAGTTTTAACGTTGAGGTAAGTATTAACGTGATGATAGAGTATATGTATTTTGGCTATGCTTCAATTTCAATCAAAAGTACTATACCTGGAAACTATTATGTTCTATTTATTTACTGACAACCGCAATTAAATCAAGTCGTCCCAGTGGATTTACTGCCGGGATGAAATCATGTTTTACATCGTAATCGATATTATTACTCTGCTAAAAGGGCTGTCGTATACGTTTGTTATTCATTCCAGTCTGCAGACCAGTCAGCCAAGGTAGGTATATCTTTTATATATATTGTTTTACCACCATTTGTAATGAAGCAAAAGTTTTGGTATCTTTGGGTGTTTTGAAGCGTTAACTTATGAAATACTGTTTGCATCATCTTCCATTTTAATTTATATCTATATAACCAAAGAAGTTTAGAAAAAAAATCGCGAATTCTGATGCTGATGTTTAAGCATAACACTAGCTATTCGGATATACTTTAACAACTTGCTCCCAGCCAGCCGAAATGATATGCTTTAAAATCAGAACAAAAATTCAGTATCTGTTTTTCTCTGTTTCATTTATAAAGAAAACAAGACATGAATAAAGTTATAAAAACACAAAATAACCAATTTGGTAATTGAACTTGTTATCAACATCAGCATACCGAAAAGAGTATTCAAAGAAGAAGAATTCTGATTTTGTCATGGATGCAGAAATAAATCACAAAATAACTGTTCCATATAAAAAAAAAATATGCAAACGTGTTCCTCATACGGTTAATCAGAATTGACTGATATTTCTACCCAAAAACGCATATAAGAAAGTTGGTTGAAGACTGTCATTTTGAAGTCATTACATATAATCAATGTTTAATAATATTTTAATTGAATTTGATAAAACATTTCAACTGATTCTGGCTATATTTCACCACATGTATAACTTAAGGCAGCCAGATAGATTGTTTTATCATAAAAGAATCGGAGAATGCATTTTTGAAACAAATGATAAAACGTTGAATAAAATGCTAACGATATATATTTTAACAGGATTTATTTTTTTCAAATGCACGGAGCAATTCATTTCGCTTATTTCATATGTTGATTGCTATTTTAAAATATTAAATAAATATTAGAAAAAAATACGGGAAATAATGAAAAAAAAACAACCATAAAGCAATGCATTTCAAATTAAAAACCATGAACTCAACCCTGTTCAGATCTAAACGTATATTGTCAAACCTTACAGATTTAAATCGCATTGCTTCTCGAAGAAGGACATAACACATGAATATATATTATATATATAATCCTATTTAAATATGATATAAATCAAGGAACAAATGCTCGTCAACAGTTTAAAGGTATGACACAATCGCTCAAATTAGCATTCACGATATTTTGGTTAGCAAGCACTAGCATTTCGTAGTTTCAGTTTTGCATAACTTTTATATGTATTTAACAGGTGTGTCCATTATCCATCGATGAATTATACTTGCGTTACAACACGGCACCAGCGCAAATCTTATTGGCCAGAATCTAGTTCCATACTGCCGCCACCATAAATAAGTCGACAACTCTAGTTCTTCCTGATGTTGCTGAATTGATTTATTTCTGTTGTCATTCGTGGAGTCTTGGAAGAATATTTATCATTTCTCAACAAGAAATATGCTGTAAAACTTTCAAGGAGGAGAAGAACATTGTGCTGATTGCAAAATCACTTGGCAAGTAGCAGACCTGATGAGACTTTGTAAGTTTACTATCTGATATCAACGCACTCATTTATCGGACATCCTTATTGGTATTGAATTTAAACTTATTTATTGTTTTCCATACCACTCATTATCATCATGGGAATTCAGACAATTTCTATTTTTGTCCTGTTGCTAACATGTAATCTGGCCCTTTCACAGCCAACAGGAGACGACGTAAAACAATTACTGACCGATGTATACCACGGGTACGACAAACGCGTTCGACCTATGAAGAACCAGGGCTCCCAGTTGGAGACTACACTTGAGTTTCATTTGCATTCAATAAATGAAGTAAATGTACGGTCTCAGAAAATGGTCGTGTCTGGCTGGTTTGGGGTTATTTGGAACGATGAATACCTCGTATGGGATAGTACTGGTCACGGAGGCGTTTTTGAAGTTTCCTTAGATAGCAAGACAATCTGGTTGCCAACAATTGCACTGACAAATGCATACGAAGGGATCTCTAGGCTGGACCTGATTGAAACCAAAGCCATTGTGAATGAGGAAGGGTATGTGTATTGGTATCCCGGAGGTGGATTTGCCGTGACTTGTGAAATCCACATCAAATACTATCCATTCGACATCCAGAATTGTAAGATGTCCATTGAGATATGGGATTTGGGTATTAACGAAGTCGTCCTAAAACCAAAGAATAGCACGGTGAATCTTGGAGAGTATAACGAAAATGGTGAATGGGATCTGGTTGCCACCAAATATGTTCAGTCATCAACACCAAGTAGAACCAGCAGATTAACTATCTATTTAACGTTGTCGAGGCGCCCAAAGTTTGTAATATACATTACAATTGTACCAGTGGTGATGTTGGGATTGTTAAATATCTGTGTTTTTCTCATTCCACTGTCTTCCGGAGAAAAGAACTCCTACTGTGTGACTATTTTCTTGTCCTACACAGTTTTTCTAGGGACAATAAGCTCGGAATTACCGCACACTTCCTTGGAAACGCCCTACTTGACAATTTATCTCATATGTCTTTTGGCGCAAAGTGTTTTAATCCTTATAATAACCGTCATTCAAGTGAGACTCTATCTTGATCACGGAGATTTTGTCATATCTAACTGTCTCTTAAACATTTCATTGTGTTTTCACAAAAAAGACAAAAGAAAAACGCATCCTGTTAAAGACGACATGTCCAATGCGGAGGCCTACGACTCCGATATCATATCTACTACGACAGACATGGAAGTAACACTGTTGAAGCATATTCTGCCTAAACTTGACAAACTTCTGTTTTTTATATTTTTAACTATTCTATTTGTGATGTCACTTACGCATGCGCTTGCTATGAATAAATCGGTGTAAAAATATTCCGATACTCGCATCAGAGATAATGATTTTGTAAATTTGTAACAAGTTAACGTTAAGTCTTGACGTACCATGCATTTTAAATGGTTGTGGTCCGCTTTTTAACATTTCACATTTCATCGATTCCTAAAAAAGTCAACACGATTGCTTCAGAATAAATATTAGATATATTCATTGCATATTAAGATTGAATATACAATAGTTGTTCTAAAATAAAGCCGTTCTTCACCTTATAAATATTTTCTTTCTAAAATGTGTTAAGTTATTAGACATGTAATATTCATGGTAAATGAATATATGTGTTTATTATGTACATATCAAGAAGTGCTTACACCGAGTTAAATAAGTTAACACGCCAGCATCGTATTTAACGAAATCTTCACCCACTTGTTTCTTGAATGTAATGAAATGACCTGTTTCAATGAATTATAAGTGTGATTTAGCTAATGTAGACGTGTCGTGACAATATAATAGGCCATTTCTGCTTAATAAGTAGTCTCCCTCTTACTTACAGATATACAAATCAAAGTTCAACGATTTTTTTTTCATTTCCTTACATTTCCGCGAGAATTCAGTATGAACATTTAGCTCAAATATACACTTGACATTGTATATTAGTAATGCTATATAGTTGTTGTTGTGATTTGTTTTGTAGAAAATTTGGCGTACATAGGAAGTACCATGAAATCGTTGGAATTCATATTCGAGGGAAATTCAAATTGTTTGAATGTGAATATTTGTATTGAAATTCTGCTTTGCTTTAAAACATCTGGCCACAAGAAGTACAATAGCCATGCTGTAACTTCATCATCATCCTACGTGTGCAATCCAGTTAAAAGTAATTATTTTAATATATGATGACTCGACAGAATAGACAGCAATATCTGAGATATTTTTTCTGTTATATGTATCATATTCAATAATTTGAATAAATACTGAGAAAGAAAGCATTAATTATAAAAAATATTTCTCGACGCAGAAACAAGTTACAAGGTTACAGCCGACCTCGGGGACTAATAGTCCAGTTACAAGGTTACAGACGACCTCGGGGACTAATAGTCCAGCTACAAGGTTACAGTGGACCTCGGGGACTAATAGTCCAGCTACAAGGTTACAGTGGACCTCGGGGACTAATAGTCCAG